GAGAGAGAGAGAGATTTATATAAATGTGACTATTCTCTTTTCTTTATTTTTTTTCTTTTTGGCTCACACATGGCCTTTCACTGGGGTTACTCCTGGCTCTGCACTCAGGAATTACCCCTGGCGGTGCTCAGGGGATCATATGCGATTCTGGGAATCAAACCCAGGTCAGCTGCGGGTAAGACAAATGCCCTACCTGCTGTGCTATTGCTCCAGCCCCCTATTCTCTTTTAGAGTGAGTTATCCCCCTCCTTATTTTATTTTGCTTTTTGGGTCACACCCAGCGATGCACAGGGGTTACTCCTGATTCTGCACTCAGGAGTTACTCCTGGCAAGTGCTTGGGAGACCACATGGGATGATGGGAATCAAACCCGGGTCAGCTGCGTGCAAGGCAAACACCGTACCCACTATGCTATCAATCCAGCACCAAGTTATCTCCTTTCAAGCTCCCCATATCCACATCCAAGTAGAGGTCAAACCCAATTGATTAAGGCCTTCATATCCATCTCATCCAATTGTTTTCAAAAATATACTACTATGATCCTTGCTTCTAATTGTCCCCTGTTACATTTCTACACTTAAAAAAAAAAATTTTAAGAGCGGCCAGAGCAATAGTACAGTGGGTAGGGCGTTTGCCTTGCACGCGGCCAACCCAGGTTCGATCCCCAGCATCCCATATGGTCCTCTGAGCACCACCAGGAGTAATTCCTGAGTGCAGAGCCAGGAGTAACCCTTGTGCATTGCCAGGTGTGACCCAAAGAGCAAAAAAACAAAAAAAAAATCATTTGTCCCTGATACTTCACAATAGGATACAATCCAAATGTCTGGGCAAAGCCGTGACTTCTCTGGTCCTCATCTCTCTGGTTTCATGCCACAGTTTCTGCCTCACAATCTCCATCACTTCAGACTCAGTATCTAGGGCTCCTGAGCAGCTGCATGCTGAGAGGCAAACACTTCATTCTTTCTTGCTTTGGCACAAATCACGGTAGAGACAACCACTAAAGACAGAGCGTTATTTTGGTCTTTGATAATTTTTTTTTTGCTTGAGTTTTTGGTTTGGGGCCACAGCCAGTGATGCCCAGGAGTTACCCCTGGCTTCACACTTAGGAATTATTCCTGGGGGTGCTCGGAAACCACATGAGATACCAGAGATCAAACCCGGGTTGGCCACGTGCAAGGCTAGCGTCTGTTTGCTGTACTATCTCTCCGGCATCTGAAGATACAGCTTTAAATCTGAACGCTTTGTGGGAATAATACCAACATCCTCATAACCAGCATAGCAATCATACGAAGCAGATACAGGCATTTTCTCCATTGTCTAGGTCAGGCATAGAGCAGAGAAATGATACAATGAAGCTCTTTCTAATAAATAATATGTTTTCTGGAGTTTGAATCCCACAGTCTTGTTTTAGCACCTATGATCCTAGATATGGTCTTATCCTGCCTAATTGTGGGGTTGGGGTTTTGAGGATTTTTTGGAGGGGGGATCGGGGGAATGGTTTTTGTTGTTGCTTTAAGTATGCTGCAGTTTTGTTTTTTGGACCACAGACTGCGGTGTTCTGGGCTCCTCCCAGCTCATTGTCTGGAAGCGCTTGGTGCTCCGAGGATCATGCCTTGCTTGGTGGACTATTCAGTACTGCATACTCAACCTGGGACTCTGCATCCAAAGCATGAGCTCTAGCTATTGAGCACTCTTCCCTGCTCCAACCTGATGGATTCTTAGTCTCCTTCATTGCCCAACTCAATCACACTTTGCCCTGCTTTCCTCACACAGTTTCACCCACGTCCTTCCCAGCATTGCCATTGTACCTTGGTTACCTAAAATTATGCTTGTCACACTCTGATGTCTTTAGCCTACCACCCCCTTTCAAGGGGGAAATAAAACACACAGAAAACCCTAACTTAACCAGAAATTCTTTTATTGGGCAGTAGAGGTTTTGGGGGGGGTCACACCTGGTGATGCTCGAGGGTTACTCCTGGCTCTGCAGTCAAGAATTATTCCTGGCGGTGCTTGGGGTAGCCTATGGGATGCTGAGGATTGAACCCCATAGGTCATGTGCAAGGCAAAGGCCCTCCTCACTGTACTATGGCTCTGGCCCCCCAGAAATTCTTTAAGCAAACAAATAGAAAACCCCCCAATCACATTAGAGGTTCCCACACCTCTGGAACACCAAGGAAGTTGGGAGGAGCCAGTCTGTGGTATGAACTACTTAGTTAAACACTGCTCTACTGTATCATTTATGAGCCTCTACTAGTCTGCAAAGAGTTCAGATTGCATGTGAGAATAAAGTCCCCACATTTCCTCCAGTAACCCCTTTCCTCATGTCTCTCATTTTTGTCTCTTGCTACGCATTTATCTGTCCTGACTCATGCTCAACCCCTTGTCAGCTTCAGCTCTTTGGTTTGACAAATAGTTTGTGTATCTACTTAGAAAATCTGCACTTCCTGCATTCTCCCTTCTCAAACTGTAAACCACTGACTGGGCCCCTTTCAACACAATCCCAGGAACTTGCCACAAAGGCAGCCCTACCTAAGAGGGGCTGATCCCAGACTTGTCCTGGGCAATTCATTTTATTTAATTTGGCTCTTTTCTTCACTCAAGCTGCCTCATGGGTTAGAGAAGTAAGTGAAATAATCTTACAGAAAATCCAGAAAGAAAACAACCAGCTTCAGGAAGAACAACAACTAGTAAAATAGAACCGTTCTTCTCTCTCAAGGCTTTACCATTTATACAACTCAGTTAATACCCAGATAACTGCCTTTCTGCTGTCTAAATAGCAAATAGAAAATGAATTAGCAAAAGGAAGACACTTTTTCTAGACTTCACAACTTCTACCTATTCATAGGATCTGCCTCTTTGTACGTTTGATTTCCCATAAGCTTGGGAGTCTTGGAGTCTCTCTATGCGTTCAGTTTCAGCTTTTCTGAAGACAAGGTAATCTTTGGGTATCTAATTTCAGTTTCTCAAGGACAAAGAGTTGATTGACACCCAGCTCTTCTTGTTACAGATGGACTATTGTCATTGGCGGTCCTTGAACCTAGAATTTTCCCATTCCAATCAGCTGTAACCAAGGCAGTGTCAAATCAAGCAAAACTTCAGCAACTGAGAGGGGCCTTCAGCAGGAGTTTAAAGGAGGTGTTTTCCTTTATTGAGGATGGCAATGTGGGCAGACTCACAATTCTAATATAAAATAATCTATAAGAAAAATTATTTAATGCTTTAAAATTCCTTAAACTATTAAAGAATTCTTTACATGGTTCTTTAAATTTTTCAGAGAATCAAATAAAATCTCTGAAATATCTCCCCCCTTATTTATTTTTGTTTCTTTGTTTTGGGGGTCATATCCAGTGATTTTGGGGGGTCATACTCAGTGATGTTCAAGGCTTACTCCTGGCTCTGTGCTCAAGATTGACCCCTGGCAGTGCTGAGGAACCATTTGTGGTATCAGAGATTTAATTCCTGAGTCAGGAATTAAAAGTTCAAGGCAAGCACCATAATCCCCATAGTGTCTAGCACCTTCTTCTTTCATGTACAGAACTACAATTTGTAGTTGTGCAGAAAAACAATTCTAACTTCTCGGGATCCCTGATTCCACTTTACCGTCCCCTCCCCGAACGGAGCGTGTCCAAAGACAGATTTATTTGTGGGCCTAAAAGACCAGCGCCAAGTCCGCCACGGGGAAGACGCACCAGGGACACACACACACACACACACACAGAATGCCAGAAGACCACGGAGCAAAAATAAATAAAAATGATTTTGGTAACATTATGGAAAAAATAAGATCTTATCAAAATATCCAGGGGCTGGAGCGATAGCACAGCGGGTAGGGCGTTTGCCTTGCAGGATAGCACAGCGGGTAGGGCCTTTGCCTTGCAGACACCGAACAGGGTTTGATTCTCAGCATCCCATGTGGTCCCCCAGCACCGCCAGAAATAATTCCTGAGTGTAGAGCCAGGAGTCAGCCCTGTGCATCCCAGGGTCTGACCCCCCACCCAAAAAAAGAAACAAACAAAAAACCTCCAGAACTTAAAAAAAAAGTTCTTTAAAACCACTGATTCACAGCGGGTAGGGCGTTTGCCTTGCGTGCGGGGAACACAGGTTCGATTCCCAGCATCCCATATGGTCCCCTGAGCACCGCCAGGGATGATTCCTGAGTGCAGAGCCAGGATTAACCCCTGTGCATCACCGGGTGTGACCCCAAAAAAGCAAAAATAAACAAAAATAAAAAATAAAACTATGGGGCTGGAGCAATAAATAGCACAGCGGGTAGGGCATTTGCCTTGCCTGCAGTCAACCCGGGTTCGATTCCCAGCATCCCATATGGTCCCCTGAGCACCGCCAGGGATGATTCCTGAGTGCAGAGCCAGGATTAACCCCTGTGCATCACCGGGTGTGACCCCAAAAAAGCAAAAATAAATAAAAATAAAAAATAAAACTATGGGGCTGGAGAGATAGCACAGCGGGTAGGGCATTTGCCTTGCCTGCAGCCAACCCGGGTTCGATTCCCAGCATCCCATATGGTCCCCTGAGCACCGCCAGGGATGATTCCTGAGTGCAGAGCCAGGATTAACCCCTGTGCATCACCGGGTGTGACCCCAAAAAAGCAAAAATAAATAAAAATAAAAAATAAAACTATGGGGCTGGAGCTATAGCACAGCGGGTAGGGCATTTGCCTTGCCTGCAGCCAACCCGGGTTCGATTCCCAGCATCCCATATGGTCCCCTGAGCACCGCCAGGGGTAATTCCGGAGTGCAGAGCCAGGAGGAACCCCTGAGCATCCCCGGGTGTGACCCAAAAAGCAAAAAAAAAAAAAAAAATCCAGTGATTTAGAAAAGTGGCAATTCTTCGAGGTTCCCAGGGCGAAGAGAACAGAGGCCGGCGAGTCCCGACCTGCGGCCCGGCCCGGCGAGGGGGCGGCGTGAGTCAGGCGGGCGCGGGCGGGGACTTGGGGCCGGGCGGGGACGGGCGGGGACGGGCGGGGACCGCTGGACCGACCGACCGACCGTGCAGTCCGCGCGCCCCGCACTCCGCTCGGCTCCGCACTCGCCTGCGCCTCGCGACCCCTGGACGCGGTAAGCCGGGCCGGGCTGTCCTTCCCCCCGGGGACAGCGGGGGACCAGCCGCGCCCCGACTCGCCTCCCGGCCTGACCTCTGCTTCCGACGTGGCCGGAGCGAGGCCGGGAGGAGGCGGCTCTGGGTGCGCCCGAATAACGGCCCGGGGCGGCGGGACCCAAGGGGGCTGCGCGCTCGGGGCGCCCCGGCCGGGCCTCCCGCCCGGGAAGGGGCCGCGCGCGGGTCCTGCCTGCGCTCCCTGGGGCTGGGGAGAGGGACGCCAGGCCAGGCGGGGGTCCGGGGGTGGTGAGGGGCGGATGCCCCCAGATGCAGCATCTGCCCGGGCCGGGGGCGCAGGTTTCAGCCGGGCCGCTGGCATCGAGCCGAACCCAGGCACCGAGTGAAGCCGAACCTTGGCGGGGAATGTGGGAGCGGCCGGGCTGGCCAGGCCCTGCCCCTCCCTTTCGGCTCCGGGTCTTTGGGACACGATGCCCCTTTCACCCCCCACCCCCACTTCATTTCATTTCATTTCATCATCCTGTTATTCGTGGATTGCCTCGAGCAGGCCCCAGTAACGTCTCTTTCATCCTAACCCTGAGATTATATTCAAGGCTCTTTAGGAGAATGAGACCCATCATTGTTACTGGTATTTGGCATATTTGGTAGGCCACGGGGAGTTTGCCAGACTCTGCCCTGTGGGCAGGCTACATTCGATAGCCTGCAAGTTTGTCCAAAGTAAAAAAGTTTGTCCCCACTTCAGTCTTTTCCTTTCTCTTGGCGCCAACTTCTGCCCCAGGGGCCAAATAGGGTCCTGTCACATCCGCCAGCTGCAAACGACGGGATGACTTTTTAAAAAATCAATTTATTTTTTTCCCCGTTTCAAAGGGTGAAAAGAACACCAAAGGAACGCTAGGTTTTGGAGGACAGGGGGAAAAAAAATTTTTTTTAATCGATTTCCTCAAAATTTGATTGACTCCTGTCCAAGCCCGTTTGATTTTTGGGTGAATCTGTGCAAATGAACGCAGGGGGGAGCCGTCTAGAGATTGCATCGGTCTAAAATATTTTCCATCCCACTGTACAAGACTCCTTTGCCAATCCCGGCTGTAGTGTGTCTGCCAGCACCCACCCAGTCTCCCTCCTCTCCTTTCCAGGTGAGATGAGTGTCAGGTGGTACTAACAGGTGGAGAAGATCAGGAATGTTTTCTCCAAAAAACCCCGGGGAAGATGGATAAACTGGGGAGTGAAAAAATGGCTGAAGGACTGGGTACTTGCTTTGCATAGTACTTTCCACTGAGCACCACAGGGTGTGGCCACTGAAACTAAGGCTGGAGGGGTAGGGAGATACTTCCCGCAGGCAGGGCACTCGCCTTGCACAGGGCCATCCAGGCTCAATTCCCAGCACCCCATATGGTCCCGGCAGTGGTCCCTGAGCACAGAGCCAGGAGCAAGCCCTGAACACGGCCAGGCGAGGTCCAAACGCAAGGAGAAGAAAAAAAAAGCAGAAGGAGAAGCCAGAGAGATCGTACAGCATGTAGGGCACTTGCCTTGCACACGGCCAAACTGGGTTTCAATCCCCTGCGCCTTATATGCTCACCCGGATTTACTAGGAGTGACCCCCTGAACACATAGCTGGAGAGAGAGAGAGAGAGAAAGAGAGATTATTTCCTTGGTAAAGAGAGGGAAAGGAAGAAGAGAGAAAGAAGGAAAGGTTGTTGAGAAAAAAGGGAAGGTACAGACTAAAATGAGAACAAAAAATCCTTGTTTCTTTCCCAAACCTTCCTATTTTCATCCCTTCCCTCCTCCCCACCCCAATTCTACAAATTGGACTGTTTAGCTTGTATTTGAAAATTCTTTCCATATTGTGTTCCTCCTCTACTACTCCAGACTCTGGACTCTGGGCACAGTGAGTTCCTGGGTCCCCTGGTCCCCAGGCAGAAGGCGGGGTTTCGGATCCTCCAGCTACTGCCTCCCCGTAGGCAAAGCTTTCTTTTTTATTTTTTTTTAACTTTTTTATTAGTGAGACATATGAGGTACAGTTGTAGACTTACAAATTTTTGTGCTTGGGTTTCAATTATACAATGATCAAATGCCCATCCCTCCACCAGTGCCCATTTCCCACCACCATGGATCCCAGTATCCCTCCCACCCCCCATCCCCCCATCCCACCCTGCCTCTGTGGCAGGGCATTCCCTTTTGTTCTCTCTTATTGGGTGTTGTGGTTTGCAAAAGAGAAATTGAGTGGCAGTCATGTTTGGTCTATAGTCTACTTTCAGCATGCTTCTCCCATCCTGGGAGGATCCTCCCAACACCTTTATTTGGTGCTCCCTTCTCTATCTGAGCTCCCTTTTCCCCTAGCATGTGTGGTTGGGCTCCAAGCCATGGAGTAAAATTCCTGGTACTAATCTCGGCCATTCTTGAGTGTTAGTCTCCTATTTTGTTACTTTATGTAGGCAAAGCTTTCTTATTTGGGGGCACACCCTCCCCCAACTCCACCACCCAGAAACCTCTCCAGCTCTCCAGATTTTGCAGTTGCCTTTTAAGAAACTAATAATTCTGGTTTTTTGTTCCGGAATGTGGGGGTGGGGAGGGGCTAGCATAGGGTTGTATATGTTTCTGTGTGGCTGATCACAGTCATTTTCAAGAGAAACAAAAAACTAAGTCAAGCATGAAGCTAAAGGAAAAATGGTTTCTCCTCTTACCTTTGTAGAGCAGAAAACCACTTTGAAAATCAAGGCGTTTCAGCTCCACAGTGGATAGAGGCAGGGGGAAACTCTTGCTGTGAAACTCCATAGGCCCTACCTACTTCTCCTCTGGTAGTTCCCGGTATCTGGGGTCTTCCTGGCCCACCTTCCTGCTAGTGAGTCTGACATGTTACTGGGACTGTGGTTTTTGGCTCTGACAAGGCAAGTTGTTGTGCAAACATGATCCGTTTCTAGGCGAGGGTGAGTCACTTCCCCCCTCCCCCAAACCTTGAACCTACCACATTTTTAAGAAAAAAAGCTCCCTTCGGTGGGTGTGGAGGATCCAGTAATACGGGAAAAATCCTGGGGAGGATCCAACAAGCTGGGAACGCTCCGGGAAGAGTGGGGACAGGGGAGAGAGGAGGAATCAGGAAGCAAGTCAGTACAAAGCCTCTAGCTCTGTGCTCCGGGGAGTCCATACAGTTAATGATAAAGCCACTCACCACGGTGAGTGGTACACGTCACCATCCAAGCATAGACCATTGTTCATTCCCGGAGTTGCAAGTCTGGAAGGGTGTGGCCGGGGCAGCGGTCAGTCTGCAGTTGCGTCTCTGATCCACCGGGGGCCGCCTACGGCTCCTCACTCCAGTGCCCAGCACGGCCTGCAGGATTTCCCAGATGCTTCCTTTGTCCTGGTGCAACAAAAGTCACTGTGGGTCAGCTCTGTGGCCGCCAGCCGTGGGTGTTCCAGATGCAGCCCGAAGCTGTGCGTGGCCCGTTACGAAACCGGCCACTCTCTGGCTCGAGGTAGCCAGAGAAGTTTGGAAGAAAAGGAGCAAAGTTCAAAGACAGAAGACGGTGATGTGCAGGTCCAGACCCTAGTGTTCTGCCAGGGCCTGTTTCCTTCTCCTGTCGGTTCCCTACAGTAATGTGAAAGTTGCTTTGGGAGACTCGAAAGCTCTCGTCCTTCCTCCTTCCCAGTAGTACTGGTGTTTGGTTCTGTCCCCAGTCTCAGGAGCTAAGTGCACCGTTGCACAGAGCTGGCACAAACACGGGCCTCAATGCTCCTGGAAACCTCTGGAGCTCCAGGAGAAGGGTCAGCAGGCGCAGAGGAAAGTGGTCGGCGTGCAGCTGTGTTTAGGGACATCTGCTGACCCCATGCCCCTCCTGGAGAGGCTGCAGGCCCCGCCTTGACCCGCTCTGTCCCTGCAGAGTGACCTGTGGACGGTGGGGGACAGGGAACAGAAGCCCACGGAAAAATGATTCTGGTTGTCTCGGCCCCTTTTTAAACGCTAAAAAATGACTCAGCCTCTTAGGAATGTGCTCGCGCGCAAAATAAAGAGATGAGATTCTCTGGAATGTCGGCATCTGGCCCTTGACGCCTTATCTGAGCCTTGAATGTTTCTCTCCGAAGGCAACGATGTCTGGCCCCACCGAGACTGAGCGCTGCATTGAGTCTCTGATTGCAGTTTTCCAGAAGTATGCCGGCAAGGACGGCAACAACTGCCAGCTCTCCAAGACCGAGTTCCTGAGCTTCATGAGGACAGAGTTGGCTGCCTTCACACAGGTATCGTGTGCCCCCTCACCCCAAACTTTTCCGAGCGTGAAACCAGGCTGGCACAAGACAGCTGGATCACAGCCTCCTTCCCTCCCAGTGCGTTTTCCTTTTCCTTTCCTCTTTCTCTAAGTAAGGCATTTCAAGATCCCAGTTCTTGAGCGAGGGAGGTGACTCACTAAGTTGAGTTCATGCTCTTCATGATGGATTTTATTAGGGCACCACAGTGTTCCCTGAGCACCGCCAGGAGCGATTCCTAGGCACAGAACCAAAAGAAGAAAAGAAAAGGAGAAAAAATCCGTGATCAAAAGAGGCATTAGAGACTGGGGATTAATTTTTCTTTGCCTTTTGGGTTTTTTTTTTTCCATTTAGGGAGAGGGGCTTACAAAATGGTACATGACATCACTGTCACTGTCCTCCCGTTGTTCATCAATTTGCTCGAGCAGGACCAGTAACTCTCCATTGTGACACTTGTTGTTACTGTTTTGGCATATTGAATACGTCACGGGGAGCTTGCCAGGCTTTGCCATGCAGGCGAGATACTCTCGGTAGCTTGCTGGGCTCTCTGAGAGGGGTGGAGAAATTGAACCCGGGCTGGCCACGTGCAAGGCAAACGCCCTACCCGCTGTGCTGTCGCTCCAGCCCCATACATGACATAAAGAGAAAAAAATAAAAAGAACCTCAAATTTCTTTCTCCCTCCTGCAAGCCTCCCCCAGTGTCTTGAGGAACTTTCTGCAATGATGCAGATGCTGTTCTCCTGGGCTGGGACACAGTAATGCCTCCTGAGGCTTTAGCATACTACTATAGTGAGGGTTGACTTTGTTTCTTGATTTCACTAACTCTTTGTAACCGATTAACCCAGGGGAGGGGGGTGTGAACCTGCAGATACTTCTTACTCCTTGCCCCCCATGCCCCTCACAAGAGTTGCAGGAACACTTAAAAAGTGTTTTACTGCTTTTATAGCACAGTTGAATAACCCTAACAGTCACAGCAAGAAAGTTGGAAAGAACCCCCAAACCCTGGTTCAAGTCCCAGGCCTTCGCCTAGGGGACCTCACTGGCCCCCTTTGTCCCTGAGTCTGGAAGATGAATCTGAACCCCACCCTAACAGGAACTCACATTCATGTGAGAATCAGTGGTGACCCCAGATGTGAAGAGGATTAGGACATGCACTGGCAAGCACCGTTAGTGTCTATTGTCGTTGTTTTTACAGAATCAAAAGGATCCTGGCGTCCTTGACCGCATGATGAAGAAACTGGACCTTAATTCCGATGGGCAGCTCGATTTTCAAGAATTTCTTAATCTCATTGGTGGCCTGGCCATTGCCTGCCATGAATCCTTTCTTAAGTCTGCCCATTGCAGGAAGTAACGCTGAGGAGCGCCCAGCCTGGCCTTGACACCCACGGCTTTCCTGTCACCATGTCCTCTTCAACCCACACATCCCCTGAGCCCAGCACCCCAACACCCTCTTCAGCCACTCCTATTAATAAAAACAGATTTTTTTTTAAAAAAAAAACAAATACTGGAGTTTCAGTAGGTTTGTGCATGGAAGGAAGAGTGTAAATTAGACTGCTGAATGAAATTGCTGCTAATAAAAAATGCATCGTGAATGTAGACAGTTATGAGTGCAGTGCTCAGACTCATGGAGGCTCAATGTTTCTTGTCATCAGTCACCCCTACTCTGTCGCTGTTCACCCCCTGTGGGCACTTCCAGAGTCTCTTCAGACAGTCAACAAAAGTCACCAGGGTCAGCCTCCCAGAGCTTTCGTTCTGGTGGTGGGCAATGAATGAATAGAAAAAGGCCAGTGGGTGTGGGCTGGACTCTGGGAGAGGCCTTGGGGCAGGGGAGTCCTCTTTTATGTTTTGGTTTTAGACCCTGACTTTCCAGAAGGAAGGTTTGTACCGAGACCTGGAGGGTGAGAAGGAACAAACATTTGGAGAGAGGGAAGAGGGCCTTTCTAGGAAAAGCAGCCAGGGTAGTGAAAGTCCCAAGGTGAAAATGAACCCCATGTTGGGGAGAGAAAGGGCTGGTGTGGACAAGACCTTTCTTGTCCACAGGCCTGGGCTAGTGTCAGGCTGCAGGTTCTCATCTTTCTGTTAAGGAAGCCGTGTTGGAGCCTCAGAAGGAGGCAATGAAGGTTAACCCGGGGTCAGAGACACTCAGAGCTGGGGAGAAGCAGCTTTCAACACTGTACATCTCCCCTGAGTGTCACAGGAAACACAGGTGTTTCAAAAAACCACCGCATCCTCACCCAACTGTAATGTGCCTTTTAGCTTCTTAGATAAAACCTCTGCAGATAAGTTCCTTCATAAATTAACAGAATGACATGTAATTTCCTTCTTCATAAATTAATAGAATGAATCATACCGTTTCTAAGGGCTAGAGCGATAGCACAGAGGTAGGGCGTTTGCCTTGCACGCAGCCAGCCTGGCCGACCCGAGTTCGATTCCTCCGCCCCCTCAGAGAGCCCGGCAAGCTACCGAGAGTATTCGATATGCCAGACACAGTAACAACAAAGTCTCCAATGGAGACGTTACTGGACCCACTCGAGCAAATCGATGAACAACAGGAGGACAGTGACAGTGACATACCATTTCCGAGGCCATTAGAGATGGAGGTAGTGGTAGGATTTATTACCTGGTGGAGGTTGGGGGTACCACACCCTAGACTGAGGGATGTATTGTTTGTGGGACCGTAGAGTGCTCTTAGTCATTGGCACCATCTCTCCTGTGTGTATTTTTGGTTTTAGACCCTGACTTTCCAGAACGAAGGACAGTGCTTCAGGCAAGCATGTCTCAAGATTTTTCTTTTCTTTTTTTTTTTTAAAATGAGTTCCTTAATTCATTAGCAGCATGAAAAAAACACTGCTTGGGAAGAAATGGGAAAAACGTCAGGTTCCATCAAGTTTCTGACCCATTTGCTATTTGGTACGGGAATGTGGGCTCTGAAGTTTAAGACATCGGGCTCAGCAACCAATTGGAAGATCTTCATTTGCTTGACACCCTCAAGTTTTGATAAGAAGTTAGATCCCGGGATTGGAGAATAGTTTGACAGACTGAGCACATGATGTGATTTAAGAGGCCCATTTTGTCCCCAGCATTGCTGCGGCCCCCAGAACACACACACACACACACTATATATATATATATATATATATATATATATATATATATATATATTAGGAGTAGACCCTGAGCACCAGGTGTGGTCCCCCCAAAAAATAAAAAGAAGATCTGATGAACACCAAGCTTCTAATTCAACAACGCTATGGAGTGTCTCTTATAAGCAAGGTGAGAGAGACTTCGGATGGAAGTACTTGATTTGGGGAGGAGGAAATGAGAGCAGTAAGTGTTTGTTGCATTGTATTAGAGGTACCATTTGGAGGTCCAGTTGGCAATACCCAATGGATACCTGAAATTGAGGTTCGGAGAGATCTAGCCTGAGAAGAAAAGGGGGGAGGAAAGAAGAGAGAGAGAGAGAGAGAGAGAGAGAGAGAGAGAGAGAGAGAGAGGACAGACCTGCCACTGAGCATGAAACTGAGGATAGTAAGAGGAAGAAGATTCGGCAAAGCAGAATCAAGACTCACAGTTAAGAAGTCGCAAAGGTGAACTCCCTACCACAACCATGCTTCTGCCAAGGCTGTGCCCCCACCCACCCACCCAATGCCGTGTGCATAGCACTCCTTTGTCTTGGTTCACCCCCTCACCTACTCACCTCCTAAGTTCACTTCAGCTCCTGAATGAAAACAAAACAGACCTTGCTTGTGATGTATCCCGAGGTTTGTGTATCAGGTATTCGGGAGTGAAGAAGACAGAAAATATTCTTGTCACATAGCTGGCCTCAGGGCCAGAGCAATAGCACCGTAGGTAGGCTATTTCACTTGTACATGGCTGACCCTGGTTCAATTTCCAGCATCCCACTTGGTCCCCCGAGCACAGAGCCAGGAGTAATCCCTGAGAAACATCAGGTGTGGCCCCAAATAAAACAGCGACAGAAGCCTGCCTCTCATTCTTTAGATACTTACTTGAGCTTATTATCTTCTCAAACCCTGAGAATGCCCCTTCCCTGGAATGTCCACTCAGGAGCTGCCCCACCCAGAAATATAGAAATCGGCAGTGACACATGGGGGCTTGTCTGTTTACTTGAGTGTGATACCTGGCCCTGGCAGTGCCCAGATCACAGAGTGCTGGAGTTCAGCTTAAATTTGAGCTCCTGCAGACAGTACTCGCGGTCAAACCCAGTGCTATGTCCCTGAGCCTTTCATCCTATGTTTCTCTCTTCCTCACATCCAGCCTAGCACCCCCCCCCGACTCGAACCCTCCCTGATCCCATCCCCAGTCACCCCTGGTATTGACCACCACCTCTCACCTGGACACTAAAGCAGCTTCCCTAACAACTCACTGTCCCTCCGGTTCTGCCCCTTCTGTGGTCCTTTCTCCTTCTGGAAGCTTCTGCCTTGGCTACCTTCCAGCTCCAGGTCGTCCAGGACTCCCCAAAGAGAGAGAGCTCTGTACTAGGCATGCCACCACCCTGTCCTCAGCATCGCTGTCCTTGTCGTTATTGCCTAAGGCACATAGATGAGCGAGAGACTTGGCTTGGTTTCCTCTGACTCCCCCTCCCTGCCTCTGCACTCACACAGGACTCCTCTAATTCCAGCCACACGAGCCTGTTGGTTCCAAGCACAGGCCTTGGACTCGAGGGTCAACCCAGTGGTCTGAGCACGCGCGTTACATTCAGGAGTCCTGGCTTTAATTTCAGGCACTGTTGGGGGTGGAACAACTGAACACCAAGCTGGGAGGAGCCCTTTGGGAATGACTGGATGTGGCAATAAAATAAATAGTGAACAGATGAATGCAATCTTTCTGTGTCTATCCCACTCTTTCCGACTCATTTCGCTTAACATGATACTTTCCATGTAGTACCACTTGTATGTAAATTTCATAACTTCAATGCCTCTCTTGCAAAACACAGGACCCAAAAGAAGAGAGAGAGAACAAGGGGGAATGCCCTGCCACAGAGGCAGGGTGGGATGGGGGCGATGGGGGATGGGAGGGATGCTGGGATCTGTGGTGGTGGAGGATGGGCACTGGTGGAGGGATAAGGGATGGGTACTTGACCATTGTATAACTGAAACCCAAGCACAAAAATTTGTAAGTCTATAACTGTACCTCATGGTGTTTCACTAATAAAAAAAGAACTAACTAACTAAGAACTAAAGGTCCTCCCGTTGATCGTCGATTAGCTCGAGCGGGCCCAGTAACGTCTCCATTGGAGACTTTGTTGTTACTGTGTTTGGCATATCGAATACTCTCGGTAGCTTGCCAGGCTCTCCGAGAGGGGCAGAGCAATAAAAAAAGAAAAAAAGAAAAAATAAATAGTGAACATGGGCCCTTGTCGGTCTGGGCCTGGATCTGCCTGGGACGCTCACCCACCCTCCCCACACAATTGCCTTCTACCTTCTACTGAATCTTCCCAGGGCAGCCGGACACCTTTTCTGCTAGGAAAGCCGGCTGAACTCTGTCTGGGACACGCATTCCTCACGTGCACCGTCATGCCCGGCTGCTCCCTTTCTCAGCAGACACCACTTGGCTCTCTGCATGCTCCGTGTTCCTCCCACACCCCTTCTCCACACTCGGGATGTTGCCCCCTGCTGATGACCCACTTTTCCACAGTCTCCACCCACAGCTCTCTAGAACGCTCAGATCGTTAGCCCAGCCACTCAGCCTCTGTCCCACAGCTAGAAATTTTCTTGTGGCAAGAGAGAGAAAATTCTATTTAAATTGTTTTAAGCAAAAGCAGGATTTTTTTAAATTATTTTTTTAATTAGGGAAACACCATGAGGTACAGTTATAGACTTACAAATTTTTGTGCTTGGGTTTCAGTTATACAATGATCAAGTACCCATCCCTCCACCAGCGTCCATCCTCCACCACCACGGGTCCCAGCATCCCTCTCTCCTCCCCCATCCCACCCTGCCTCTGTGGCAGGGCATTCCCCCTTGTTCTCTCTCTCTTCTTTTGGGTCCTGTGTTTTGCAAGCAAGGCACTGAGTGGCAATCATGTTTGGTCTATAGACTACTTTCAGCATGCTTCTCCCACCCTGGGAGGATCCTCCCAACACCCTTTATTTGGTGCTCTCTTCTCTATCTGAGCTTCCTTTTCCCTAGCACGTGTGGCTGGCCTCCAAGTCATGGAGCAAAATTCCTGGTACTAATCTCAGTCACTCCTGGGTGTTAGTCTCCCATTTTGTTGAAAAGCAGGATTTTTTTTTACTCATTTCAAGAAAGGTTTCCTGCCGGCTCTCAGGGCCACTGCCTGTCTCTGCTGGGCTTGAAGGTGCTCTTCCCACACTGACCCACACTGAGGGCCCCTCCCTGAACTCTTGAGATGATTATCAGCAATTCAGGGCTATGACCTCTCAGAACACAGGGCAGGCAGGATCTGAATGTTCTAAAAGATCTCATTGCACACTCAGCATTTGGGTTTTTTTTTTTTTGTCGTTGTTGGTTTGTT